TTTTTTATTCATTTCAAGTAAGCCAAAAAAAAACATTTTTGAAGGACAGTGATAGTCGCCTCCTCGTGGTGTCCTCTGGGTAATGCTAAATTACTATCATAAAAATAATACTTCTATTGGGCGCAATTAACTATACAGAAATTTTCCTGAAAAGTACCGGGCGCTATTTACAACTATTTCCTTTCGTTGGGCGCAATTTACGTTTGCCCGTTACGGCAACCTTTCTAAACAGACATGGACTAATTGAGCCCAGAACAAAATTTGTATTTTAGGAACAATAATCAATATACCAATTGCGCTTGTATTCAAATTTCCTTACCTGCAGCTACTTTCAAATATGAAAACATTATTGTTCGATCTAATCCCAGTAAATTAAAAACTTAGTTATTGATCAATTTATTATTGCAAGTTAAAGTGACTGATTACAATATTATATTTTATATCATATTCGGTTATTTTATGAAACGTTATTATTATTACCCATATTTGATTACATCATTCATTATTTATTTATCTATATGTTATGTCTTATGTATATTGATAATCCCCAAAAAACCAGTTCGTGTATTAATTTATTATATACTTATACGTTWATAAGTTTTATTACTAAATAATAAGTTTTCCTTAGGTATTGAAAAATATTTTTAGCACAATTGGTCTATTGACCCTAAAATGTATATAGTGCTATTGGTCTATTGGCCCTAAAATGTTTAGAGTGTAATTATTGGTACAGTAGAACATCGATTATCCGTCCCCCGATAAACTGTCTTTCTCGGTTAATCGTCAGACGCCACACTTGCACGGATTACTTGCGCGTTGCAGTAAAATCTTATGACTTTGTGTATGAGTAGATTAATCTAAAACTTTSCGTCAATATCTGCTAGGTAAGCCAGTGATGCCCAACCTTTTTTGTTTAGCGTGCCAATTTGATAAGCAATCATCTTCGAGCGGGCCACTAAATATACGTATTTTTTTTATTATATTATTAACATTACTATTATAAAATAAATAAATATAATTTTACTTTTATTAGAATTCTTTGTTTTATTTAAAAATTTCAAATTTGTAACGGGCCTGCACACAGATCACTTTCGCGAGCCACATGTGACTGCATGTGGGTTGGGCAACACTGAGATAAGCGATAGGTGCATATGTAAATATATATAATATATATATATATATATTATGGGTGAGATAAAAACAGTCAATTGCGATAGAAATCACATTTTGTTTTTSAAAGCGTACGTAATTGTAAATAATAAAAAATTCTAATACGTAGAAAAAAAAAATAATAATAATGTACTAATAAGTAATACCTAGTACCTAATTATATCAATATGCATGTCATAATTATTAAAAAAATTAATGAATAATATGTATGTGTGATCAAAACATGTTTGTTGTTCACGTAACCCGTTAACTGTCTTTTCGATCATCCGTCAAAGCTTTGTTCCCGGGACTGACGGTTAATCRAGATTTTACTGTATAATATGAAAAGGTCATTTTGTGCGCAATTGGTAAACTGCCTTCTAAACACCTACCTACTGTACATCAGAGTAGTACCCACTTTTTTATTTTGAATTCAATTAGTAAACATTTTTTTACATACTTGTAGAGCCATGAAGATACATAAATACCATGGTGGATTATCGTCAATGCCGTATGTTATAGACAATCCTTCGGTGWTTCTAGTATTCGAATTATTTGGTTGGTCAATAGACTGAGACGATATAAACTCGTTCGACTAAAAATAAAAATAAATATAATGTTAGGCAATCGATGACATTATAATAACTTTCAATACTTGTGATAAATTATAATTATTGATTATTGTTAATTATATTATATATTTTATTAACCATAAAATTGATTGTCCAAAACAAGCTTTTAATTATATTTATTTCATTAAATCTTTTTTTATATCTTGACTGGTCACTATTTACTTTAAATTTTATTTGAATATATAATTCTTTGTATTATGGGTTTACGCATAGTTTTTTTTTTTTTTTTTTTTTATGAAATAACTAACAAACTTGTATTATCATAAATTCATCGGTATTTAGGTGTATTTTGAAGTTAATGATGAAATTGGTAATTAAAAAAAAAAATTTATAGTATAATTTGTAGCTGATTTTAAAAATATGAATAGTTAAATAATTAATATTTTCCCGTACAAAATAAATAGCAATAATAATGTATAKTATTAAAAAATGAATTAAAATAATAATAATTTATGTTCTTATAAAGTAGAGCAATACAACGAAAAATTCTCTTTTACAATTTTGATTTGAACAATAAAACATATACATTATAGTCATTACAATTATTGAAATATATTAATGTTTTACAGACAAAAAATCAAATTATAGCATTCGGAATAGTAAATAAACTATAATATAGTTAATAATATTATCTATACAAACGTTTAGGTTGACATTTACAAATCCTTTCTGGTCATCCATGATCGAGATGGCAGGAATAAACTGTACGCTGGATGTCACTCTTAGTCGAGGTCTGATAATGTTGTGGCTACAAAAATTAAAAAAAATACACTCAGACAGTAGAAATCAAATAACTGATTACAAATCGATTATACTTGGTCTTTTTTACCATAATAATATTTTATAAGTGCATGAGTAGAGGTAGTAGGTATATAAATATTATAGCCATTAATCCATCGTAAATTGTATTATCTTATTTGAAGTATGAAAATAAAATATTTGTTTATTTAAGCGGCATGAACAAGTTTGTTAGGTATRCAATTAATACCTATCTATAATATACATTAAACTATTGTGTGTGTCCAGAATTCAACGTCAATATTAATCAAACATTGCCAAACACTACTGCAGGTTAGGTCATGTTACCAAGTTAAATTGAAGTTGCCAGAATTAGAATCCAATCCTACTCAAGTCAAATGTTTGTAATTATGTGATTAATGATTATGAAAATAATTTTTATTAATCAAAATTTGAACTGATAGGTGATTATTTTATCGCAATACCAAGAAACCAGTTACCAATAACCTTTACATTTACATCTTAACCACAAAAATCAAAATAATATAATTTTTTTCTCCAGAAATCACAGTTTATGGTTCATTGATCAACGTGAAGTCACCCGAGTCCTGTAAAAAATACTGTAATTTGTAAATGATTACAACGATTATAGCATTTGATCATAATCGATGTCATTTGGGTCTCTTGGAATAGGGAACGRAGTCTCAACGAGCTCGTCAGTCTACATGTGCAGAATTGTATGGGTTCTCTCGTTGAACATAGTATACACTATAAATACCTAAATTTATCATCATTATTATAATTATAATCATAATACACGGTAGAGGCTGTGTGTATCTAACTATCTGTTACATATTTGCATATGACCTTGGCCATATATTGTATAGGTACTAGGTAGTTAACGTTTTCGGTCATCTTTCACAATACACAAATTATTTAATTATAATTGAATATAACAACTAAAAGAAATGTGTCTATACAGGGCTTTAAACGCCATAAAAAGGTATAAAATATATAGGAACTCTATTTTATTTCAAACGTTCCATGTGTGAAAACGTAAATAATTATTTTGACTTAGTCTTAAATGTTTTAATTGTCATACATTGACATAACTGATATCGATTGGGGATACTTATATTTATTGCTTTATGAAATAGAGTTTTTA